GGCAGTCAATTACTTCTTTGAGTCACAGCCTCCTCACTCCTGGATAAAAGGCATCAGTGATTTACTCAAAGAATAATAGAAGGTTGTTGACCTTTTTGGTAAATATATTTCCGAAAATTGATTGGCCTGGAAAATTTCAGAAACGATTTGAAGAAGACCTTCATTGTGTTGCGGGACCTTCCTTCCAACCTAATACTAATGTAATATAGTATAGCAGCTAAGCATAACAACTTATTTTCCATCTCGAAGCGCTGGAACCACAATTCTGTTATGCATGTAGATCTGTAATGAAACGTTCTGTAGGAACAGAATTGTGCCAATGAAAGCGTGTTCACCTGCAACTTTAGCTTATCTTCCGCTCCCTTTCTGGCCAGCACCAGGAGGTTTGTTGCCAGTAGTGCCACAAAATCCACATGTTTTTGGACACTGGGCCTGAATTGGACCAACTCAACAACTTGCGTTGATTTAACGAATCCAGCTATTGAAGTATCCCCCAGACTATGCACTGACAGAGCGCGTTTATTTAGCGGAGGCAGATGTAGTGAGCTGACGATACAGATAGGACGGGTACGGGAATCAGACTTCGGTCCAAATATCATCTTCAATGATAAAAGACAACGGAGGGACGGTCGCAAATTTTTATTGAAAACATTCAATTTTGCGAGTAAGAAAAAGAACAAAAGGGTTAGAAGCACGTGAGACTGAAGTCAGTGCTGAGACACAGACGCATGACCCGAGTACGTGTTTCATGTTTCGTGTTTGCTCATATTACCATTATCATCTTTTATTGTAACCGAAAAAGTCCCAGTTCTTCGATATGGCCCGCTTAGTTGTTCTTGTGTACTGATAAGAGACTTTTCTATTTCCACGTAGTTAAAAGGTCGGTGTGGGATCCCGCATACGAACAGGCAGCGCTATGGATAAGTGAAGATTTGAATTCTCGGGAGAGGACTACGGTAATTGCAGTGAGAGTACTGTCGCTTGTTGCGGAACTTTGTTTAGAAATATATCCACCCTGAGGGGACGTCCTTACGCTGAATAGTTTACTGTGATCCCACCTTCATAACGGTGAGGTACACAGGGTCCTTGCACTGCTCCTTTCGTTCCTGACAATCCGATTTTTCTGTTTCAGGGTTGACATGGTCAACGCAACCACCACCACCTCAAAAAGGATGAAAACATCTTGATCAATGAAAGTAAAATAACGGTTCTGATGCTTACTACTAGGCGGTACTTCGTTACATCTTTTGCACGTTCTCGGGCATTGTTCCATCATTACGGTACGATAATGGGGTAGTTCGCATAGATGTCTTCGGAAAACACAGTCGGAGAACTTTGTGTTCGGGTTAACCTTATCCACACAGTTACCTGAAACATGGTGTTTATGAAAGGCATTATTTGCAAAATATCAAAGTATAGGAGAAAAAGTGTATTGGCTCTAATCAATCTCGATTTTAGGATGCCACCCATCCCGGCTTCGGCTTCCAGGCAGAATTGTAGTTGCGGTTTGGGACCTATGTGACTTGCACAATGACTTGCAATGGCCATCCGATGTGTAATTCAGTACTTTTGTCTTCCCTTACAAGCTTGTTACCAAATTGACTTCGGAAAGATAAAATTCTCGGTCGCCCCGGGTGATCGATCCGGGATTCAATTCTAGGATGTAACTGCGCCCTCCAGTCGTCGCCACATCAGCTCCCAGCTCCACCCATTTGCAAAACATAAAAAATTGTTAGCAAAAATATAAATAAATAAATAAATAAATAAATTGCATACAGAAATGTGAGTAAAAGTGAGCAAGTAATCCAGTAAAATAAAAATGGGAGGAAGATATTTATTACCGGGTTTCGGTGGTAGGGGACTTGTTCGAAATGGCAGCTTCGTCGTGATCGATGGTTTGAGCGACGTCGAGGCTGAATAGCCGCATTTCATCAGCCAAAGCTCTCTGGCCATGTTTTAAACATATTTATGTCGAACATATTCAAAAAAACCTACCGTTGCTTATTATAGGGGCGCTTATATTGTTGCTTATACTGGTGCTCACAGTAGTGCTTATATTAGAGCTGCTTGTAGGACAGCACTCGTTGATTTGTTGGTCACAGGTGCTCCCAGGTGGACAACCAGGAGAACATGCTGAAATTCTTTGAACAATTATCAGAATTTCAGAGAAAAAAGCGAATGCAAAAGCTGAAATGGGCCTGTGTCCGACATCAATGAGCTTGTTTCCGACGAAAGATTCTCTACGACTGAGGTGATGCTAAAATTTAGTTCCATAAGCTCTCTCGTGGAATACCGATAGTAGTATTTAACTTAGGAAGATCCATAAATCGTGAGAGTTGCTCATTTCCGCTTTTCTTCACCAACTGAAAGTACCCACCTAAAAGGAACGCGCCCTCCTCGGAACAGTGCCGAGGAGGAACGAAAAATTTTGTTGGAGCAATCGCTTGTTCAGGAGGTCAGGAGGGAGCGTAGTACGTGCTAACTATTGTGGGATTTGCCAGTGCTTAACCAGAATCCTCATGAAAAAATTCAATTCATTTGGTTTCCTTGTGAAAGGGAAAGTCCCGAGTCCAGCCGAGGAACTCCACACTATTCTCAATGGCAACTACTTACACCAGTAAGCAAAACTGCAGAGGAATCAGGAATTGAAAAAAGCTCTGTCATTCTGTTGAAAGTGCGTAACTGTTTACCGTTCCAATTGTAAAGAGCATTATGTCTTCCGAGAGACTCTGAAGCTCTTACTGCTTGCCCTTTACTTTACTCTCCACCCAACACCCAACACTCGGGGTAGCAGATGACAACGGCGTGTTACAGTTAATTAGACAAAACACTACCACAACTAGATCGTCAAAAACCAAAAAAGACTGGCGACATAATTGGATCTGTTGTGATGTCTTCAAATGTAAACTCGTCCGAGCATTAACAATGTGCGTCATAAACTCGTACCACACCTAGAAAAAGCTGTAGAAAAGGCCTTTGACGGTTCTTTTTTCTTCTTCTCACTAGCAGACTATTTGACAAAAAGCTCCCACTGAGAAATCCGCCAGCCTACAATCCAATCAGAAAGCAGCTGTATAGCAGCTCTTAACCACAGCTCCTCCAAACCAACAGATAACTTACGGCCGGTTGATGGTTGACCATTCGGGCAGTTGGCAGCTATGGTGCATGAAACCAATGCAAATATTAGGAGTATAGCACGAATCATCATCACTTATTTGGGCTTTCGGTACAGGATGCTTTTATAACGATCGTTTTGACATCTGGGTAAACATTCTGTTTTGAACCATGATGAGCATGTTCTCCCCCATTCCGCTTCAGCTGTTGTTTATTACGATACCCGGCGGGTAAATCATTACTATCTCTTTGTGATCGTATTATACGGTTGGGAGACA